CCAGTTATTCTTATATTAATAGTGAATGATGGTGCAGAGCAAAATAATGAAGACTTCAAGCAGAGTTTAATTTTTACCGCCTGTCATTGCTTTTATTCATTTTACATTTTACGTTTCCTTTCACTTTTCTTTCTTCCTCTTCTTTATTTTCTTTCTGTCTATTGCTTGCTCATTATTCTCTCTTTCCCTCTCTCTGATTTTGCCACTCTTATCTTTTCTCTTTCTTACTCCTACTCCCTCATATTCTCTTTTTAACTCTTCTATACGCATTTTTGTTTCTTTTCTTTTTCCTCCCTTTTATATTTCTCTCTCTCTCTTTCTCTCTCTCTCTTTCTCTCTCTCTCTCTTTCTCTCTCTCTCTCTTTCTCTCTTTCTCTCTCTGTGTTTGTGTGTGTCTCAAATTCTCTTGTTCTTATACTCTGTTTCCTCCTTACTCTCCTGCCCTTTCTCTCTCACCTCCTGATATTCTTATTTGTTCTCTCTTTTATCCCTACTCTCTACGCAGTCTTACCCTTCCGTTCCTTCTATCTCTTTCAAGATCACTGTTTTCTCTTTTCTCTTTTTCTTATTCTTACTCTCCTTCTGATTACTCTCACTCTCTTTCCATTCCTTCCACCTTCATTTCTTTCTCTTCTTTACCTTGAATATTTTCCTCTCGTTACTCTCCTGCTTTTTCTATCACTCATTACTCGTTTCTCATTTCTCTCTTTCTCTCTCTCTCTCTTTCTTCTCCTTGTCATGCCTTTTCCTTCTCTCTCTCTCTCTCTCTCTCTCTCTCTCTCTCTCTCTCGTCTTCCTTGTCACTTACTCTTGTCAATAAAGAATCAAAATAATAACAATAAAGATTAAGCTATTATGTCGGAAAACTGTTTACCCGACGACGCGGCCTCGTTTCAAGACAAACAACTAAGACAGAGACTATCAGTCTTTATTCCGACCGATTTTTCTCCGCCATTATGATTCGCTCTGGAATAAAAGTATGCAGTCTTTTTTACATTCATTTCAAGGACAATATTTAGGTATTTGGACAGAATTTATTCGACTACATATATGCCATTTTCTTCTGCCACCTTTCGGCATCTTCGCAATCAGGGGTGTAAGATGATGATGATAATGATGATGATGATGATGATGATGATGGAACGAAAGAAGAAAAAAAAACATCATTTTAATAAACGTTATTTTCCTCATGAAATTAAGCGAGGCATTCAGAAGGCCAATCGGGTCATATATGACCCGCGGGTCGCAGTTTTCCCTATGATTATCATAGAGTGTAACATTGCTGGTGACGATAACCTTGTAATATGAACATATTGCTGATAATGAAGAAAAAGATGAAAAGGAGGAATCTGATTGTTATGATGATGATAATGAGAATGATGATACAACTGATTCTAATGTCGATTTCCTCCTTTTGTCATAAGGTCTTTGATGTAATGAATATGCATACACCTGGGTTCCCCCTCATAGTAATATGATTGGCTGGTGTCAGCCATGAATACAGACTGATGTGGAGGACGCCTATTGTCTTCGCCAGTTGTCTTCGCCTATTGCCTACCATTATGACAAGGACCAGTCCATTACGGTTACCTGCTAGATTGTTCTACCCGGTTACAGTAGTCAACAACCACTTTGCTACTTCGAACAAATATATCCCTTTCCGGAACATATCAGTCTTTGACAATAACAATAATTGTAATGAGAAGATAGGGCTGCTCAGTAAAAATATTGGTTAATGTGTCGCGTATTCAAATTCACTGGCAAAGAGAATAAGCCACCACAAGTTGTACAGAATAAAGATTTTACCATCCAATGAAATTTCAACGTTCATACTGATAAAATGCATCTTCGAGGAGTTCCTGTGTTTCCATTCTCCCAGAACATGGCATCTTTCTGGGTGATGAACTGAATTGAATTAAAGAGTAATTTGTTGGGATCGAATAGGATTTGAAAGTCATTGTGCATTAGGATTTTCTTCCGCAAAATCAGACATTGATTCCAATTAAGTAGTACCCCTAAGTGGGATCGACTGAAGCCAGCAATCATTGAAAAACGTCCGTACTTTGGCGATCGGAAAGATCTTGTCTTCCATCATGAAAACACTGGACCTTACGTCTCTTTGCGAACCCGACAGAAAATTGGTGAGCTTGGCTTGGATGTTTTGCTAAACTTGTCGTTTTTGGCCTTGCACCTTTGCATTTGTTCCGATCGCTATAAAATTCGGTTAATGGAAATAACTTCAATTTTCTGGAAGCCTGTAAAAACCACTTCATCACCCAGAAAGGATGGAATCATGACGCTGACTCAAAGATGGCGAAAGGTAGAGAAACAAAATGGCGCATATGTAGTTGAATAAATCTATGGACAATTATAGAAATATTTTCTATGAGATTTACTTAAAAACGCTGCAGACATTTATTCCAGCCTTAAAATTTAATAAAGATATTTTTTATTAAAAGATGGAAATTGTTTTTCTAGTCGCTATCTACAGGGGTTGGAAGAGATCGCATGTTTATTCAAAATAAATAAATTATCTTATTCTTATGACATTATTTTAAGTAATATTTTGTTATGTAAATATTTAAAATTAATTCTATAATTCATTTCCTGTTTTGAAGTCCTGGTTTGTTTATCGTTTCAATGGCAAAACGTCTAAAATACTTGACAGCTTGTCAAATATGATTTTGATGCTTCCCTTAAGACCAACTCTTCGGCTTTTCAAAACGCCATGTGAAGGAAGCCAACGCAATGAAACTCAAAATTCTCTCCAAGAAGTTTTTTCAAATTTCTTATAAAATTAAACAAAAATATGATTGTGAAAACACTTTTTTTTTTTTAGATATTGAATCTTCTTCTTCTTCTTCTTCTTCTTCTTCTTCTTCTTCTTCTTCTTCTTCTTCTTCTTCTTCTTCTTCTTCTTCTTCTTCTTCTTCTTCTTCTTCTTCTTCTTCTTCTTCTTCTTCTTCTTCTTCTTCTTCTTCTTCTTCTTCTTCTTCTTCTTCTTCTTCTTCTTCTTCTTCTTCTTCTTCTTCTTCTTCTTCTTCTTCTTCTTCTTCTTCTTCTTCTTCTTCTTCTTCTTCTTCTTCTTCTTCTTCTTCTTCTTCTTCTTCTTCTTCTTCTTCTTCTTCTTCTTCTTCTTCTTCTTCTTCTTCTTCTTCTTCTTCTTCTTCTTCTTCTTCTTCTTCTTCTTCTTCTTCTTCTTCTTCTTCTTCTTCTTCTTCTTCTTCTTCTTCTTCTTCTTCTTCTTCTTCTTCTTCTTCTTCTTCTTCTTCTTCTTCTTCTTCTTCTTCTTCTTCTTCTTCTTCTTCTTCTTCTTCTTCTTCTTCTTCTTCTTCTTCTTCTTCTTTTCTTCTTCTTCTTCTTCTTCTTCTTCTTCTTCTTCTTCTTCTTCTTCTTCTTCTTCTTCTTCTTCTTCTTCTTCTTCTTCTTCTTCTTCTTCTTCTTCTTCTTCTTCTTCTTCTTCTTCTTCTTCTTCTTCTTCTTCTTCTTCTTCTTCTTCTTCTTCTTCTTCTTCTTCTTCTTCTTCTTCTTCTTCTTCTTCTTCTTCTTCTTCTTCTTCTTCTTCTTCTTCTTCTTCTTCTTCTTCTTCTTCTTCTTCTTCTTCTTCTTCTTCTTCTTCTTCTTCTTCTTCTTCTTCTTCTTCTTCTTCTTCTTCTTCTTCTTCTTCTTCTTCTTCTTCTTCTTCTTCTTCTTCTTCTTCTTCTTCTTCTTCTTCTTCTTCTTCTTCTTCTTCTTCTTCTTCTTCTTCTTCTTCTTCTTCTTCTTCTTCTTCTTCTTCTTCTTCTTCTTCTTCTTCTTCTTCTTCTTCTTCTTCTTCTTCTTCTTCTTCTTCTTCTTCTTCTTCTTCTTCTTCTTCTTCTTCTTCTTCTTCTTCTTCTTCTTCTTCTTCTTCTTCTTCTTCTTCTTCTTCTTCTTCTTCTTCTTCTTCTTCTTCTTCTTCTTCTTCTTCTTCTTCTTCTTCTTCTATGTGCCATGTCCCTTCAGGGCGTTAGCGATGATGGCTCGTCACAATTTCCTGTTCATGGTATCCTCATCATTCTTCTGTAGAACCGTTTCTGCTGTTTCAAGTTTTTTCTTAAGATCTGATTAGATTATCCAGCATTCACGGTGGAGTAATTGGTAGCGGTTCGGGTTGAGGAATCGGAGAGTCGAATTCCAGTCGAATCCATTACATTCACTTACGTGCTAATAACCTTGGCAATGGTATGAATCCTTTTCTTCTCCCCCAGCTATGGGTAAGTAGCAGACCGGGTCCTATAGCCTTGGATGGCAACTGGTCTACCGCAAAAAGAAATGGCAACCTACCCCGGGAAAAATTCTGCCTCGTGAGTCATGTATCAAAAGTTACATGATTATCAAAGCGTGTATCATGCATGGCACATAACTGATATTACATGAAAGTTCGGTACTATTTTCTTTGTTTCTAATGATATTTTTCTCATTCTTAATACTTTGCTTAGCATTTGGAAGGTATCTTTCGCTGTTTCAATGCGCCTTCGGATTTCTGTGTCACACTTTCCATACCGTACGTAATTTTATAGGGAAATCATTTTTTTTTATTTATTTTAGCGCCAATTTATAAATAAACGTTTTTATGCTTTAAGAAATGAATATTAAAAATATGGTCAGTTTCTTTTCTTTGTTATTTTTATTTATTTTCTGCAATTAAAAAAGGCAGTATCGTTGAACACTTTCAAAACATATTTTCAAAATATGAGTCAGATCAAAAAAGTTAATCAAGTCAGTATTGAGCCAAAATATCGTATTAGTCAGACCATTTAATTAACGAATTTGCCATCCTTTTTTCTCTCAAGTAATTGTCTTAAAGAAATTAAGCTACAAATCTGTCTCACTAGGAATTTATATTTTGGATTCGTATTCGACGCAAAAATTATAAAATATATAACTTGCTAACCTGCCGATCTAGAAAATCCCCATTTGGAAATTTACCTTGAGCTGGGATGGAACATCTTCCACTGGCACTAGTGGGAAATACCACACTAAGAGGTGCGAGTGAAAAATAACATAACCAAGATATCGGGACACTCAACCCAGATAGATAGATAGATAGATAGATAGATAGATATGAATGAATTAATTAATGAATGAATGGTGCTAATCAGCAGTAAGGTTATCTACCATTGGAATAATTGCAATTAAGTTTTTCGTCTTATGAACAAACGTCGCATGATATCAGCCAGTGTCATTGACAAATGTCATCATTAATCGATCCTGTACTAAACATAGAAATTCCGAAACATTCTGATGTTCCCATTCCGTTATTATAAATATAATTATTCGCATCGATATTTTTCTGCAAGGAAAAACTCAATTTATTTCCCTGTTGGCGAAGTTGGACAGAAATAAGAGAAAGGAGAAAATTTAAATGCTTCATTTTACAATGGCAAATCTAAATTCGCTGTTTTCTTTCTGACCAATTTGCTATTCATAACATTCTCTTGATTCTTTAGAATGTTGCATGCCATTAATGGCTAGCCATGTACATTCTGATTGTTCTTTTCCGTAGGAATTCCAGTAAGAAAAATGGCCACATGTTCACGAGAGACGGATGATGGAAAGACCTGTGGGCAAAATCTTCCTACTTACCATTATTTTTCTACGCGTTATTTTCTTATGAAAGGTTATTTGAATGATAAATACAGATGGATGCGTGTCAATTCTGAACAGCGCTTCCCGTGATTTCCTTCAGGGGATATAGACAAGTGTACTTATCTCTGTTCTCTGAAAGGTTCGTTAAAAGCAACGAAAATATTCTTGTTTGCTACATAATTGTCGGAATAAACAAAACAATTTATAATAAAAAGAATAGTATGTACTTTGATCAGTGCTTCCTAAATTCAGTTCGTTGCTGATTCGTGACAAAAACAATATCCAAATTCTTAATTATCCTTATTTAAGATATCGATTTACAAATAAAGTTACTTAACAGCATCTGTCGGAATATTATGGGGTATGTACTGAGTTTAGTTCAGCAGAATCCTAATTTAGATTCCATTGTGACAGTTTTGAAAGTAAAGAGGGTAGAACTAAATTGAAACCCTGGTTTTTACATGAACCCATTCGAACCATGGACACCGGGGACATTATTACTCCACTATTAACTTTCCCATCCACAAGTCAGGTTCTTCTTCTTTAAGTGCCGAACTCCGCTTTTTAAATAGTCTTAGACCAGTCCATCTTTGGGGTATTCAGCTACTCCACAACAATATTGCTGGTAATTTTACTATAAATATATTTTGTTGGTAATTTTTTTAGAAAATTATATTACTGTTTTTATACTTCCCTAGTGTTTTGATTTCTGTTTGGGGTTTCACAATTTGCTACCTCCTCGGGTTAGGGAGGACCTGGGTAAAACACGGTTGTCTCACGTTCCTCAACACCTCTATTCTTCCGATCAGAAGTCTTGCTGTCGGATGTAGTTTATCGTTTACCCAGGACTACTCCTTGCTCTCTCCCATGTTCCTGCCGCTCGACAAAGTTGCAGTTGTAGTATTCTAAAGCCCCAGACGTCAGGACGTCAGATATAAAGGAAAAATGTTATGTATCCTAAATCAAATAGAGGAAAGAATATTGGAAAAAATTCCTAAGAGTCATCACAGTTTTCTAGAGGAAGCTCATAGGAACCCGTTAGATTTTGGCCAAGCAAAATCACGAGGCTGAGGATAATCATCGGAAAAAATTATGGACAGGGGGAAAAAAAACTTAATTCATAGCGAAAATCGTATAGAGGGAATTTTAATATTCTAAAAATCATAAATTAAATTCAAATATTCCTTATTTTCCCTATGATTATTTTAAGCGAAATTATTATTCGTTTTTCCTGTTATTTCTCCAAACTCAGATTAGAATATCAAATTCCATCAATGACATCACTTTTCAGATCGATAGAGATAAAGTACTATGAATCATTGGCGAATAATCGTCAAAATGTAACGCTAACAAAAAATTCTATTTGTAGCATCGTTAAAAATGAACTTTAATGTTACAGCGTGGAAAAAATGTCCGTCGTCTAACAAAATATATTCCTTTACTACTTATAGGAAAAATCTAGAATAAACAATGTCGTTCAAATTCAACATACCTGTCCTCACCATGACAAAGACACAGGAGGATGAATGAATGACAGCCTCTCTGACTAGATCAACAAAAAAGAGTTTGTTTTGTAGACACAACAGAGACAGACAAAAAATCGTATTTCACTCCCGATACGTTAGATTTCTTATATCAATTTTCTTACAGATTTTTTCAAAAAAAATTATTTTTAAAGCACTTTTATGGATTTAACGGAATATAAGGCGTACTTTTTTGTCAAAATCTGATTAACATCAGTTTGCACCTTATACGGTAAAAGTTGGGCTAAGAATTAAAATTGGTATCTACGAATCTTTAGCAGTTTTATTTTAGGGCAAACTTTGAAAACTTCCCCAATGGAGGCCAGATGAAAATCTAAAACATTTCTAATGGATGCTAGGGCAAATTCTAAAAAATTCTACAATAGAGGCCGAAGCGAACTCAAAAGATTTCACCAGATGGAGACCAAGAAAATTTCTAAAAATTTTCCCCAATAGATACTAAAAAAAGGAAAAAGCTCTAAAACATTTCTGCAATGGATGCCAGGGTTAAGCTATAAAGAATTTCTCCGGCAGAGGTCAGTCTAAAATCTTTCTCCGACAGAGGTCAGTGCAAGCTCTAAACATTTTAACTATGGAGGCCAGGCTAAACTCTAGTTATTTTGTGAAATCTGAGGCAAGAACTAAAAAATATTCCCAGTTAAGTGCGGAGCAAACACTAGAAAACTTGCCACAATTTTATTTTAACAATATATTTCATGATAAATTTGGAGGTATATTCTACATGCCACATATTTATTTAAAAAATCTGTAAAATCTGTAAAAAAATGTAATATTAATAATATATCATAATAATGGAAATGAAATTTTAACAATAAAATTCTCATATTTTTAAATGCATAGAAAAAGCAGTTTGCATTTCAGATAAATTTAAAATTGCTATTCCTATACAGAGACATAGACAAAGAGAGAAAATGCCAGTTGTAGATTAGATGCAATACTGACACTTGATGAACAAACGCTGTGTTCAACAGACGACGCAGCAGCAACAAGAACAACAAAAGCACTGTATTGACATGGCGTTCCAAATATAGCATTATGATTGAACCTAAACAGACTGTACCTGTTGAGCTGTGAGTGAAGGACTTTGATAGTGAAATTGTTGGGTAATTAATATTTTGGCGGGAAACGGCTGAAACAGACCGGAAGACAAAATACAAAAAGAACGAATAGAAAGAAAGAAAGAAAGAAAGAAAGAAAGAAAGAAAGAAAGAAAGAAAGAAAGAAAGAAAGAAAGAAAGAAAGAAAATATATAGGAGACAGAATGTAAGAAAGAAAAAGGAAAAGAAAGTCAATATAATAAAAGTCAGGGACAATGAAAAAGAGGCTGCATAAAACGAGAAAGGAAAAACAAGAAAAAGAAGGGGATTAAGAAAAAAAGGAAGGAAGGGGAGAAAAGGTCGTGAACATTCGAGAAAAACTCCTGTATAAAGACAATGAACGTGGGAAGCGAGAAAGAAAGGCTAAAAAAATTGCGGGTAGAAAAATGAGGGTCACGATAACGAAAAAGAAAGAAAGAAATATTCTAAGTTGTACCAAGCTATAAAAAGAAGTGGGAATGGTAAAAGAAAGAAAAAAGATAATCTTTAATAATAATAATAATAATAAGAAGAAGAAGAAGAAGAAGAAGAAGAAGAGTGTGAGGAGGGGGTAAAAAAGAATAAGGGTGTAAAGAAGAAGAAACTTATTGTCATTGACAAGGTGTTCCCGTCTCTTAATGAAATAGTTGAACTGCCCGAACACTGTAAACATTATTAAGATTACGTGTAAACATTTCTGCGTCCCTACGAAAGGAATGCGTTTACTTTTCTCTCCATTTAAACGGGTATTTCAGATATTCTAGCCTAAAACCTTTCCATCACCTCCCATGCACACGGACAGCAGAAATGACTAAGACGAAAGTGAGAGAGAGAGAGAGAGAGAGAGAGAGAACGTTGTTTCGAAATAGTAATCAATCACATTGAACAAAATAAAAAGAAATACAAATAGACTATTTCTTGTTTCGTACACAATAAAATTACTAATGTCGACGGGTTGTTAAGTTCGTGAATGTTTTAGCAGACAAAAACAAATATTTTCGAACGAAGCCAAATGTATTTTTCCGTTTTTATCAAGTACAATAATATCTATATATCTATCTATCTATCTATCTATCTATATATATATATATATATATATATATATATATATATATATATATATATATATATACAGTCCATTTTCATCTTGGTGGATTCGTTAATAAGCAGAATTGTCGCATTTGGACTGATGAAAATCCAAGGAAGTTTGCTGAAAAGCCACTGCATCCACAAAATATATATAATGGGTATTCCAATAACTTATATATATATATATATATATATATATATATATATAATATATTCCAATAACTTGGGCCGATTTTAAAAAGTGAATTAAGTATAAGCGTCTAATGATTTTTTTTTCTTTTTCTTTCAGATTTAACAACTTAAGTCTTTGGTAATTTCAACCATGGGAAGATTAAGAATAAAACAATGTGTTAAATTAATCGAAGCCTATTACAAAAATGAACGTTCAAATTTATAAACATACGACCCAATGATTCCGCTAGCAGAAAATGTATACCAAACAGTGACCTTTTGTGGATGCAGTGGCTTTTCAACAATCTTACATGCATTTTCATCAGTTCAAATGCGACAATTCTGCTTATTAATGAATCCACCAAGATGAAAATGGGCTTTATCACTAAAGAGGATTTTATTGCGAAAAATCTTCATCGGCTTGTCTTTGCTCATGCACCCAATCCGAATGTACGGCGCTTCAAATTGTCATCAGGTTTCAGTTCTTGTGTCAATTGAATTTTGTAAGCGTGTAGAGACAAATCTTTTGTCAAAATTCGATGTAACATTGTTGTGGAGCGGATCATTTCCTGGTGTCTGGATATTCGGCTACATTCTCGTGCACTGTCAGCCATGTTTTCAGCTGCCACTGACCCAGTTTGTTTGAATTTACGAACAATTTCTTTCAATTGCACCTTCGGTTGGTCGATTATGTTGACCAGAATATTCGCAAAGTACGCGAAATGCATTTCAGTTTGAACGTCCATTTTCGTAATCGGCTTCGATAACTTTAACGCGTTATTTGATTGTTAATATTTCCATGGTTGAAATTGCCAAAGACTTAAGTTGTTAAATCTGAAAGAAAAAGAAAAAAATCATTAGACGCTTCAACTTAATTCACATTTAAAATCGGTCTAAGTTATTGGAATACCCTATTTTTCCGTTTTTATCAAATACAGGGTGTCCATAAAGTTCGTGTGCACTTTAAAAAATTTATAACTTTATTTGTATTTGCGGTAGAAATAATCTGTAAAAATGTTATAAATTTTAATGTACCTAGTTTTAAGTATGGCTAAAATAATTAATGTGACTTCAGGCATTACTGTAAATCAGTTGGGAAGTGTTTTCCGTGGACTGCAAAATCTTATTACCCTTTGTATTGCTAATGATGGAGGACATATGGAAACTTAAATAAAATTTCAAGAAAACCTTAAAAAATATACATTTTCTTCTTTCTAGTCCTTTTTACAAATTATTTCTATCGCAAATACAAATAAAGTTATAAATCTTTTTAAATTGCACACGAACTTTATGGACACCCTGTACAATAATACCTTATAATATTAATATAACATTAGTAGTAATATAACATTAAGTACATATAATGTAAACTTCCATGATATATCTTGGGATTGACAGTGGAGTGGTTTCCCTTTTCCACGGTGGTTTATGGAAACATGCGATTTGCACTAAAATCAAGCAGGTGTGAAAATTTAAATATCTGGGAAATTTTTTGACAGAGGACAGTAAGTGCTACGCTGAGATCCGAAGATGTATTGGGATGGCCAAAGACGCATTCCAAAATCTGGGCAGAGTATTGCTAGACAGGATTTCTTTGGTAACTAAGAAAATAGTACTGAGCTGCTACGTGATATATGTCCAGCGAATGTTGGACGATTTCCTCAAAGATGAAAAAGAGACTCGAGGCGACGGAGATGTGGTTCTACAGAAGGATGTTAAGGATATCATGGACCGACCGTGTGAACAACGATGAGGTCTTGGAGAGGATGCAAACAAGCCGGAAACTTATACTTAACATCATGAGGAGGCAGCTGAAGTTTCTGCGACACGTAATGAGAAAGGAGCGCCTGGAGAATCTGATACTCACAAGTCGAATAGAGGATAAGAGAGATTAAAGAAAGCAACACATGACATACCTGGCGGGCTTAAGCAAGTGGATGACAGAACGTGGTCTGGGAGAGGGACGAAACATTGAAAGCTGCAAAGTATAAGTGGAATGGAGAGCCATTATCGCCTACGTCCTGAAGAGACACGGCACATAAAAAGATATGAACTTCAACGAGTGCACATGTTTGAATGAATCATAAATCATTTCTGTTTTTGTTTATCAACGTTATTCTGGAAAAAAATCATTACAATTACATTATATCAATGTTTTTACATTACAATTCCATTATATTCAATTATATTGATTGATTGATTGATTGATTGATTGATTGATTTGCTTTCTATGTGATGTGATTTTTGTTTTATGGACCGTATATTATCATGGCTGAATACGACGCCCCTTTACGACTGATCAAAACGGACCTCTCTTTACTTCAAAGCCGTGCTTAAACGCACTAAATGCGTATTCTATTGGATGTCAGCTGTAATCGTAATGCCGACTGAATCACACCAACACAGTCTCACCAAAACTTACCAAAAATCTCTTTGAATAGTGATTTATTTTGAATTGTACATAATCCCATGAGTATTCACTATGCCGATGTCTACATCGCTTGTAAAAATATCCATTTCATCACCAGTCACTATCCAAAAATGATGAGATGTGTTTACAGGAGAGCAGAGACATTCAGATGCCATCTTCTTCCCGGCTGGCTACACTCAAGACATGAAAATCCTACTTTACAGTACATTTTTTTCAACATTTCACCCCCAAGAAAGGTAATAATGCCACTAAGACGCAAAAGGTTACTGTGAGTGAAAGAGAATGAAAAGACATTAGGAGAAGAAACCGAAAACCCAATCCTAAATAGCAAAACCTCTACTTCTGTTCAAAAACCACGGAGGAGTGTGAACCGTTTTTACGGCTTATCAACCCTTTAAAGGTTATTTAAGTTGGAAAATATGGTTTTAGGCTGTAAGAATTTCTTGTTCTTTAGGTAATAAGGGTTTAGTGATACAAGTATTATTAATTAACCCACAGCTGGGGGAGAAGTGGTAGATTCATATCTTTCCCAAGCGTATTTGTGCGTAAGTGAATATAACGAAGCCAACGGGAATTAGAACTCGACTCTCCGATTATCAGTTGCGAGCCATGACACCATTACACCGTCCGCACATTTCCAAACAGTGATTGTACGGGAACCGATGCTTCAACGTGATATGGCAGTAAGCATCTCAATTAAACATTAACCACTGTTTGCAATGATGCGATACCACTTGTCAGGCAGCTCTTCGATAGGTTTTGAGTAAAAATTCACAGGTTTCGATGTGAAAAACTTTTCGGTGGACTCTGAAACTTGGTTTTCATTGAACAATGTTTTCCTCGTCAACTCATTTTGCAGCGATCGAAAAATGTAATAATTGATTCAGCCAAGGTTCTGTGAAGATGGCACCTAATCAAATTTCTTTCTTCTGTTATTCTTGCTGCATGTGACCTCTCGTTGTCATCGAGTGGAACAACTTTGTCGTTTCATCGACTGTATACGCTGCCATTGCCGAGCAAAAACTAAGGTATGTTAATCCAAATAAATACATGAAGTAATAAACAAATTAAAAACTGCTCCTGCCAAAATAATAGTTAGAATTACAACAACCAACCCCAAAATTGAATAAATAGCTTTAATTATCTTCCCAAACCAAAAAAACTATTAAATAAGAGATATAAACTAAGGTATGTTAGTGGACCCGAAATATATTTTTAACAGTCACGTATAAGTAGTTAGAATGAGCCATTCGTCATTGCAATGAAAAGAAAATTACTTATAACTCAAAGTAATACATTAGCTTCATTATAGTTTACTAATTTTAGCTTAGTCTGGCACAAGGCCATGCGAACAGTAAATGAGTCCGCAAGTATAACTTGTTAACCATCACGCCACTTTACTAAAAATCTCGGTTAAACAATTTTGACGAAACTGGGGATAATTCTGAACGGAGGTTCTTAAGAACGATCACTGGAATTTTATCTGCACCGGTAGTATTTATGGCATCAAGACTTTGGAAGAATCTGGAAACTTCACAAGCTAAGATAGAGAAAACAGAAAGGTTTGTGCCCTGTGAGAGGGGGGGAAATCAGGTAGGGGATGGTCATTGTCGTCTAACGTTGAGCTTGAGGTAAAGTTCATTACAAAAGGCTTAGCTTTATCCGATGAGGATGAAATAACCACGGAGCCATTTATAATAACAAGCACTGATGATTTGCTTCTTCTATGAAATTTGTTCATGATTTTCAAGAACTCACGGGAACCATTTTTTTTTCAACTTTGGCTTGGACCGACTGCGCATGACAGCATTTTGCATTTTCCAGAAATTAATTTTACTAATTACGGGCAGTTGAGAATGCTGCCAAAGTTTTGCTTCACCGTTCCCTGTGATAGAGGTGGTAGTCGTGGTCACGTTGAACTTTGGTGCCAACACATTCAGGCGGGGTCAAGGTTAGCTACTCGGCCTTTAATGATATTTTTCGTTTGGCATTAAATTCTCCATGACAGAAACAATATATTCAGAGGGAGGCTGTTCTGAGAGCTCTGTTTTGGAAAGAGAGAGGAACTTGGAAGCGAAAATGGAGAGTAAGCTGAAAGAAAATAAAAAAAAAGTGGAGAGCTGGAATAAAAGTAGATAAAAGTAGAGTAAGCTCGAAGAAGAAGAAGAAGAAGAAGAAAAGGAAAGCCAGAAGAGAAAAAGAAAGAGAAAAGAAAGCTTGAAAAGTAAATGAAGAGAAAGCAAGCAGAGAAGAAAAAGAAGAGGATTCTAGAAGAGAAGAGAAAAAGGTGACGAAGCTGGATGAGAAGAAAAGGAACAGAAAGCTGAGGAGAGAAATAAACAGAAGAGTAAACTAAATAAGAAGAAAAGGAGAGGGAAGCTGAAAGAGAAAAAAGAAGACGGAGTTTGAAGAGAGGACTAATTAAAGAAAGCTGGAAAAAAAGAAAGAAAGGGAGATGAACAAAAAGAGAGACTAAGCGACTAAACAGATAAAAAGGTGTCAGAGAAAGAGGAGAAAAAGGATGAAATAAAGAATGAAAAAGGAAGAATGGATAATGGAAAATTACAAAAGTCAAATGCATTTGTAAGCAACAAAAGGCAAAAATATTTAATCTAGAAGGAAAAGAAGGTGATATTTGCACTGAGAGAAAAAAGCCCCCACTCCTGCCCCCGACAAAAAAAAATGGGTAAAAAGGGAATAATTTAATAGTTTCTAAATTATCGTTAGTCTATGAACAATTAAAGAAAAATAATTCTCTATCGTCACATTAAAAGAGTGAAAAATAAACTGATGCTTAAAAAGAGGACCTAATGATAAGAGACAGACAGCCAGACAGTCATGTGTTTGTCGCCTCTGGCCATACGACCGGGTCGATTTCAAACATACGACTCAGATGACGCAATAACCCTTTCTCCTTTACTGCTCTTAGTGTATGTATGTGTGCGCGTGTGTTTGGGTAGGTAGATGTTTGGGTGGGCGGCTTTCAAAGACTGGACGAAAACAAACATAAAGACCATTTCCCGTCCTTCCCTGGTCTTCCTAAAAACAACCCGGTATATTGAACATGACAGAATCAGTCTGGTATGTCAATATTGAACCTCAACAATTGCTGTCTGGCCGAAATACTTTTACGCTTCTTCCAAATGATGACTCAATAGAAAATGCAATCAACAATGTTCTCCGAATCTACAATTCTTATTCAATGAAAGTAAAATTGTTTCAAACCCCTTTGACTTTGTGATCAGTCTCGTAATTATACAATCGACAATTAACGAATGGTATTAATTAAGTTAGATTGAAATGTAGTGGCTCAATAACAGAGGCCATCTGATTTTTTTTCAATAAAAAACAAATGCTGAGTCAGGTAAAAAAAATCACTGCCCGGTTTGAAATTCTGAGATGAACAAGTTTCGTTTCGAATTTTAATCTTTAATACGTTTCTTTAGAATTATTTGTTGCTTTTTAACACAACATTTGTATACTATTGTTCACCCAGTAAAAGGCTCAAGAGTCAGTCAAGGTAGAGTGTTACTAAATAAGGTTGTTTTAAGGACGTACAAGGAAGAGGTGCATATGAGGATATAGAGAATATCTAACGGTTGGCTTTAGACTTGAAGAGGTTAACATCGTAGCGATCAGGGAAACATCCTTTCGGGGGTCTGTTCCACGGCGTAACAGTTCTAGAGAAGAAGCTGTCCGAGTGGAATATCCTCCTTACCAATGGAATATGATATGAATGAGGATGAGTCGATTTACTGTAAGCGGCATGGCAAGTGCTAGCTGTGAATGTCTGGACTAATGAATCTAAAGAGTGTAGCCCACTTTTTGACCGATCTTGTCATCTTCAGCTATTAATTTAGCAGTGCTAAGATTAAGTGCTTGGTCAAGTGGTTAGAACGTGGGAGTCCTGACCATGATACCCCGCTTCGATTTTCACCATGTTTGGTTTGATCTTCTTTTTTCTTTTTTTTTTTTCTTAAATGTCAGTGTTTGACTTTCTAGCGAAGTTTGGCTCTTGTGAGTGAATGTGAGTAAACAAAGAAGGAATACAGCTACTTCCTGAGAACCGCTGCATTGTAAAACAGGCTCCCGAGGCGATGTTTCCCGATTGTTACAATCTAAACCCCTTCAAGTCAAGAATCAACTCTTATCTATCCTACATATCCCTATAACCTGCATTTACTTTTTCCTTTTACGTCTATACAACAACCTCATTTAATAACTGTCTATATTGAATCTCTTCTGAGCTTTGTATCAGTGATTATTTAGTAAAAAGAAAAAAAAAGATGTCGATGGTTGTGCTATTGTGCTCACAAGTTCACGTGCACGAACTCACAAGTCATCGTGACTGAGGTTTTGAGCGTACTGTGCTTGTTCAATAAATGATCTAGCCGGATCGTGTACACTCCAACATTCAATCTTTTACTCGCCGTCTAATGACGCCCAGCCAACAAGCCGGTTAGTTTTTCATTCCATCCTTTCATGTTACTTCGGCCAATGACCGTTCTTGTGCAGGTTCGTTCGAGGTGAGAATTACTTGCTTAGTTGAACTTACTAAAGTTTCTTACACTCAAAGGTTGGAGGTTGTGAGCATTGCCCTATTTGGGAGACATAACGGATGAAAAAAGAGAATTTCAGTTCGCCAGAACACGAACTGCGCACCATCGACTGCATTAGTGCCCGCTTGAACCACACACTCTTGGAGAAAGGGACGGCCTGTTGCTGTATAACCTAGGTAATTCAATACTGCGTCAACAGGTCCATGCCCTCCATGTACGTGCTGGATTTGCTGACACGACTGTATATATACAAAACACAAAATAATTCCCCCCAAAACAAACGGGTTCCACTTTCAATCTGATATTCTTTCTTATTACTCTAAACGTTATTTTTGCGCATGTACGTGTTTGAGTAGACGCCCAGTTTTTTTAAACAGCGGGAATTACCTGTCTATATCTCTGAAATGAGGTATTATGTATAATTACATTATTTACATTATTCGGACTGTTATCCTCATCATCCTTGACATATTCACAACGTTTCTCAAGGACACATGATAAAGACGTTGGTTAGATCCAGTAACTAGAACCAAAGAGTTGTGAGTTCAGTACCACGCCACAGCAGTAGTGAACCAAAATCTTAGAAAGTTGAGTTAAAGGGAAATAACTGAAACATCCGGAAGAGGCCTGGCACGTGGAACTAGAACAATCTACCCCGGTGGACGAAATAAAGGGTTCGGTTCGAAATTCAAATTACTGAAGAAGGCCGGTGCGTACAACGGCCGAAACATTGTGAATATGGCAATGAAGATGAGATAACAGTCCGAATAGTGTAAGTAATGTAAGTAGTGTGAATCACGTCTACCGGCCTAAATAAAATATATATATATATATATATCCCACAGTATATATTAAGTGTTTCGAATGAGTCAGCCTATAAATGTATTTCACACCGTCTAAAAAAAAAAACAGGGCATCTACTCAAACACGTGCATCCAAAAGTAAGCTGTATTTAGGCAGCATATTTCATCGGAACAAGTTGGAATAAATAACACTGACAAGGTCTGTCTGTTAAACGTTTTATATTGTCTCTCCAATTTCCGATTGAGGTGTTTTGCAACGGGATTAAAATTGTTAATAAACTATAAAATGTTCTTTTTTTCTTTTTACATTCGAGTACTTTTGATCGTCACAGTCACTGTCAAGAATTGTGAATGATCAGTAAAATGCATTTGACTAAATTTCAGTGTTAGAAGTATTGGGATGGCCAAAGACGCATTCTAGAAGCTGGGCAGAGTATTGCAAGACAGGGGCGGTGGGGGGAGTTACTTTGGTAACAAATAAAAAGAGTACTGAGCTGCTACGTAACATCTGTCCTCCTTTACGGCAGCGAATGTTGGACAGTCTCCTCAAAGCCGAAGAGACTCGAGGCGACGTGGTTCTGCAGAAAGATGCTAAGGATATCTATCCATAGGATATCTATATCATTCGAATAGCTATTTCAACCAACCAAATATATATATATATATATATATATATATATATATATATATATATATATATATATATATTTATTTTGTTTAGGCAGCAGTCCTTCTGTCATGCACATTTCATTGAATACCACAGACAAGGTGCTTTTATTTAGTTTTTTTTATACAATTTTTCATGCGATCTAATATTTTTCCTTTCAGATGATAAATTATATAAAAAACTGTCCAAATGTTCTTTTTATCCAAGCGCTTTCGGCTATACATTTAGCCATTTTCAAAGATTAAATATTTTAACTGTTAAATAAGAAATAGTTTGTTGCATGTATGTTTTATAAAATGTTTTCATTTTTCATCTGAAAAGGAAAAAATTATTAGATCGCATGAGAAATTGTTTAAAAAAAACTAAATAAAAGCACCTTGTCTGTCGTAGTCAATGAAATGTGCATATATATATATATATATATATATATATATATATATATATAAGTGTTTGAGCCTTTTATATATTTATATATATATATATATATATATATATATATATATATATATATATATATATATATATATCTCGATTGCATCTAGCATGAAACAGACTGTCACCTCTAAGTGTTGACTTCTATGTTCACTTCTATATATATATATATATATATATATGGCGGGGGGAGTAAGTAAAAAAAAATACCACCCGATTTCTGATTTGATTGTTCGCCATTTGCATTGACGTATACAAGAAATGAAAATCAATGAAAAACATATTTGTCTAACAATTATTGGGGAGAAAATTATTGAGGAACTGTACCAATCTGGTTTGCTTACAATGCTTTTGTTTGCAAATCCAAACCGTTTGTGTGCGCATGTGCGTGCGTGCGTGTGCGTGTGCGCATTTGCGTGCGTATGTGTGTGTCATAACTTCTAACTATTATAGGACAATTTACCTGTCCCATAATAATTATTACATTTTCATGCACATTTCTTACACCAAATGTCACAACTATAATGGGACAGTGCCTGTATTATTTTCAAATTAATGAGGTTTTTAAAAAAAAATGTTGATGAAGAAATATGTTGGTAGGATTTGTGGCAATGACCTTCTAAAGAATAATGTCTACATTGTTTTAAACAGAAATATTCACAATCGGCAAAATTTGAAAACAAATATATTTTATAAAACCCAGATTGATGTATTCAGTTAATTAAAACCTTTGACATGAATTTACAATAAAAATCTGTGCAAGGTCAATAAATGCCATTTTGCACATAAAAAATTAAGTCAATAGCAAAAGTTACAATGTTTTATATTCTTGACCTCAGTTAAAGAATATGTAAAATTCCATTTCTTCTTTGTAAATTCATCTCTTCAAAAAGTAAGAGAGAGAGGGGGGCGAGAAAGAAAGAAAGAAAGAAAGAAAGAAAGAAAGAAAGAAAGAGAGGATCAGATCCAAAAGAATTTCATCACCATCTAGATGAATTTTGACCGTAAAATATCCAGCCATTCTAAATAGAACTGATACTCTCTCGTAAGGTTACTCAGTCGATAGCTATACATTTTCAAATCATTACAAAGTTACTGAACGTATTGTTTTGCTGTTCGC